CAGAAATATGACAGAAAAAGTGTGTAGCTTTCTATCTTACTCCATTAGAATAAGTAGTATTTCAAATGATAAAGGCGTGACATGCAATGCAAATGATTCATGATGAAAGGGATGCGGCTATACGCATGGATGATCTGTCGTGCCCAGTGTAACATGCATTGGAAATAAGCAGAAAAAATCGTGCCCACCGTTCAACCTTATTAATAAAAAGGCAAGCGGATGTACTTATACTAGGGCTGTGTTAAATCAAGCAATATATTTCTTAGTGTTCCACAGCTAACTCATTAGAAACAACCGAATTACTGGCCTTCTAATTTATCTAACAAAAGATGCTTTCAAAACGGCTGCTAGACATTTGTCCACCTGTACCACTGTATTTATAAAACTTTTTTGTTATACAATAAACAAAAGACATATTGTGGTAAGATCCCGATTTTCAGTCAAGGCTGCAGTCACTGCTTTCCTGGCATTGCTGTTGGTGCAGTATATCAGCTAATATTTACAAGCTTCACGCTGTCGATTAGCTAAGATTAAATGGTTTTCAACAAAAATATATCGTGTTCCAGCGTAATTAGTTCAATACTTTGCTCATATGCACTATATTAGCTTGTGAGTAGGTTGTCTGCGACGCAGTATACATGAGGAAAATTCCACAACGCTTGATTGGAATGTGCAAAATTACAAACTAGCAACATTGTATAACGTGTAATCCGGGGTTCTTAATGTTCTAAATAATACATTAAATAATGATTTATCACGGGTAAAAATGCATGTATTTGACAAGTCCCATAGGAGGAATGGCGTAATAAGTTAAATTTTTAGGATAATCCTATAAGTAAATCAACATTTCAAGCGTCCACCTATTTAAATGCACTACTGTATAACGATAGTCTGAAATGGGAATGGGATGTGCATACGCAAAATAGTATAGAGAGCTGTTGTATTTCAGTAAGGGCGTAAGAACTAAAAAAGGAAAAGAAAACGCTCACCCGTTTGTTTTTTCATTTGGCGGATGTGGTAGGTTAATGCGGTTTAGCTACACCCAGGCTAATCACATAGATACTACTGCATGTATCCTCATCGCCACGTTGCAGAGAGGGCCGTTAATATCAAGGTTAGATTTGCATTATTTCGTCCTCCAAGTGGAACGAACTATAACACGTAATGCAAGTTTGGAAGCGCTTCTTTAAGGCGTTTTCTGAAAAGCGTTAATGTAGGGGCAAGGCTAAATTGAGTCGCAAAGATCTTTCACGCACGGGACACACAGCTGGTAAAAACGTTGTATCGAAAATCGATCGACTCTAGTACTTCGCCAGTTTAGGCTGATGGCCCCTCAGTTTCGTATTTTGGCTAAGCCGCAACAGACTGCGAATTAGGTGACCTGGGTTTGTCAGAATTAAGTAAATCATAACTAGGTCTCCTCGCTGACGTCGATATTTACCACTGTACAATCTCAGAGACTGCAGTCTGCGTTGGTAGGAGAGATGAAAAAATACACTAACGAGTCTGGTCGAGCATGTGTATCGAAATCGCGGTTGCGCCAGGGACGCCAGGCATGAATCTCATATTCCACTTAATGCCTCACTTCAGCATTTGCGGAAAATAATCCGGCTCAAAATTGCCGAAAGCCTTCCTTAAGATTCCATGATGTTGACTGGCTCTTTTTGAGGTCTTTTCAGCCTGTCTCTAGCAACTATTTTAGTACTGCACGATCACACCCAGGACTTTTTCTTAGGAAGCAGCTGGTAATTGCTTTTCCCCAAGTCGACATTCATAGATTAGCTGATGGCGTATGCCTACGACTTTGCACTTGGTTGCGTTGAACTTAAGCCTGTTATCGGATTATCACGCATATGCCCTGTCAATATCGTTCGAAATGCCATGTGATCATCCGATGTCCTGATGTCATGCGAAATGTTGACATCTGCAACTATTAGGAATTTCGATTGCAGTACACTGGCAAGATCTTTAATGAATGTTAGGAATAAACAATGCCCCAGTACCGATCCTTAGGGTATTCCACACTGGACGTCATTTGGGTGGGAATTGAATCTGCGGACTCACATTCAATTGACTTTGAGCGAGAATGTTGCCGAAATTACCTATTATAGGGTCATCGATTCCATAGCTTCGAAGCTTGTGCAGGAGAATGCGGTGGTCCAAATGATCGAAGGCTTTCGTGAAGTCCAGGTACACAACATCGACTCCCAATCCGGCATTGGCTGACTCTGTCCAGCTTGCTCGGTCCAGCAGCAAGTTTGTAGTGCATGATCGAATTCGGCTGGATCCGTGTTTCTGTGATACTAGGATATTGTTTCTCTCGAGATATCCCATGAGCGCCTCTGCAGTTATACGTTCCATTACTTTGGATAAAACTGGGAGGAAAGTGATTGGAAGGTAGTACGAGGGGTCCGAACGATTACCACTTTTGTAAATAGGAGTAACTAGTCCATGTTACCACATTAACGGAACCTACATTTCGTCGAGACAAAGTTGAAAGAATTGAGCTAATATTTCGTCAAGGTTCATGGCAGTTGTTTTCAAGACCTTTGTTTTGAGGTCGTCGAAGCTGGGTGAGTTGTGCATGCACAATGACATTAGCGCTTTCATCACATTAGCTGCCGTGATCCATATGTGGTTTAACCCTGGTTGCGATGGAAGCTGTGTTAAAATCGGATAAAATGTTAATTCATCCTAGAAAATATGGATGAAGTGTTAACGAAGTACTTTGCATGCATCTTGTGTGGATTGCGCAAGACAATCTGCCGCATGTAAAACCGGGATCGCATGCTGCACTCTGCGCAGCTTGTTGACGTGTCTATACAGTAAATTGGGATTTGCACTAAATTTCACCGCTAAGTTCTGTTGGTATTACAGTTTGTCTTAGAGGATCAACTGGACTTAGCGGTTCCGTTGATTTGTATAAGCACCCCAGATCAGATTACTTGGACAGACTTTGTAAGCGCACCAGGCTGAATTAGTTAAGGCCACCCATTTTCTAGTACCGTCCCTCAGGAATGAATTCTCTTGCTTCGGGCGAAGGACCTTGCTTTCTGACGCATTTGCCACTGGCTCAGTGAATTGGGTGGCGAACAACATCCAGGCGACATCGGGCAGCTTCTTGGCCAGGATGGACCATTCGGTTTCTTGAATGAATTTGGACGACGTCTCGTAATGTGTAATGACATAGATTTTCAGGTTGTTCTCATTGATGTACTCCAAATAACAGACGTAACAAAAGAGCAACATCGCGTGTTCGCAATGAGCAAGTGGTAAATATGTGGTCACGGTGTCGACCATTAGTTCATCGTGGGAGAGATTTAGGTCCAAAACAGAGGGTGTGGTCCCCGTTCGGTTTCGCGTGGGAGAGGTGATATGGATTTACAAAATTACATGGGCAATCAACGTTTGCAAATCCGCCATGAATTGTTTGTAGGGCGATGCTGGAACTTTGATTGCGTGCAGGTTGAATTCCCCCGGCAGAAGGACATGGTTGTATGGTTGTGCCACGCCAGGTTTCCTCGCAGAAGCTAAGCATTGATCCATCCCCAAGGTGGACATTGGACGGCAGGAAACTTTTGCTAATAAACAAACATCATCACGTCTTGGGTGCATTTGACACCAAAGAGAATCGACGATTTTCTTTTCTGGGTTCTCAGTGACATCCTTATGCAGGTCGGATCGATTATACGGGGGCCCTCCCTCTCCTCTGCTAGGTCCGTCCTTTAGGATGGAAGTCATGCCAGGTAGTGCAATCTCAGCATCCGTGATCTAGGTGTTCAGCAATATTTCGGTGACCATAACTATGTCCAAACTCGTGTCGACCTGACGGATACGGAGTTCGGTTACTTTGCTGAGAAGACCATGGGCATTGTATACAAGCAGGCGAGGACATCGGAGCTCAGAAGGGTATTTGTTTTTGCTAGTTTCCGGTGAGGGTCTGTGCCCAACCTTGCGGGGTCGGCTGCCGGTCCTCTTTTCCTTGGAAGGTGATGCAGGCTATAGGGCCATTTCGAATTGTTGTATAGAGCTCTCAGCGCCAACAACTGGGTAACCATGCTGTCCTCCCCCAGCCGTCGGTGTGTTTTGGCCTTGCTTCTGTTTTTAGCTACACGGTGACAGAATTGTATTGGTAAGTTCCTTGATCAATGTTACATTGTCTATCTTTGGCCCAGGGCCTATGAACTTTAAATGTATTTTAGATGGCAGCGTTTTCATCTTTTGTGCCATATTTCGCTCACAAGTTCTGCCATCGGTTCGGAGCGCAATGATAAATTTATCACTCGGAGACTTGTTCTGCAGACGTGGGTTGCAAGATATTATCATTCCCTGCTCTTTGAATGTGTGCAAAGGAGCAGTATACAAAACGAATACTGAGTAAAAATCATTAATTCGAATGCTGGAGTTAAGAGGAAGTAGGCACAGAATGTCGAAGACCACAACATAGTTAGAAGTGATGAAACACACATCACGGTCCTCAAAGTCAACTGCTTTTGTACACAGGGTAAAACGCGATTACGATAGATTGAAATAGCATCAGCGTATTTGAGTAGTTTAGCGTTTGTAATGCGATAAATTACCATAGTCGCCACCTCCGGGTCAACTTCCTGACCCGTAATGTAGATGTGCATAGCAATCAATGAGGCTAACAAATTGTGCCCTCGTGTCTGACATTTTTTAATGACAGTGATCCATTTTGGAATATTGTTTCCTATCCACTTACATAGAGACCGGACTGTTCTACGAATGTAAATGATTTCCCAGCCACGAGGAAACGTTACGCTACCGGTGAATTTGCACATAAACAACTGAATGTAAGCAGCAGATTGCGGATATGCATTTGAAATTCTCCTTGCGAATCACTGAAGGCCACCAAGACACAAACTGCACTATCCGGTTAAAAAGATTTAGATGACTATTTGCCGCTGCTTATTTCTAAAACGATAAAAATATAAATTGAAGACTATACAAATATATACTTAATGGTTTGTGTTTAACAGTTAAAATCGCATTCAGGATCTGTCAGGATTTTGGACGGACGTGACTGCGATGCGGAAGTCATTCATCTTTTTGTGCAAAGCGCACCTTCTGTCACTCGAACAATTCGTGGCTCTTCAAACGCGATGACCGTTGTACTGACAGAACCAGGTGGACAGGGAAGTATACTCAACGCTACCTTATCATTTGGTAAGTAACGGCATCCCATCGCACTAAAACTTTTTGGATATAGCCTTCGTTATATTTCTGTCATAGCCATTAATTTATTTATTCTTTTCCTCCCTCTTGTAAGGATAAATAATGAAAGTAAAATATATATGGCACATTGTTCCAGATTATTTCTCCGCTAATAACTTATGGCATTATAAGCTGTTTGGTCTGCGTACTGCTTACAAATTACCTTTTATTTCCCACTGCTAGCTTACTGGAATCAGCAAACACACCAACCTGCTTATAATGCCCTAAAATAATTGGCAGCGTAATATTGGTATTTTCGTAGCTGCAAGAGCTATATACACAAACCCCTGCACGTTAGTAACATGCAAGTCAGTGGATAGAGAGCGGCGTCGCATCTATATTATGTCTCAATTAATTGTATCCATAATGTTTTCCAACTCAGCCTTAAGCTAAACGGTTTCACCCATACATCTTTTAGATAGGTTCATAGCGCAATCAAATATCATCCTACGGGCGCGAACGCCCCAAAGCGAAGGTCACGCGTTGAGTGACCTTTCGCCAATCAACCAACAGCATATTAGACTAGTTTACTTGGGTTACCAGAGACGTTGCTTATAAATACCAAAGCCATTCCATAACGCAACCCCGAATGTTAATAAGTGGGCACATTGAAGCAGTAAAAGTATTCCTTAGAAGAGGGATTATAATCACTAAGCCGGACAAAGGGTCTAGAATTGTGGTCATGGATCGCGTAGATTACATAAGAGAAATGGATGTGATCCTATCTGGCACCTTAAGATCTATAGCGAGAACAAATAAAAGTACACCGAAATTCAGATAAGAAAATGGCTAAAATCGCTTGTAAGTGAAGCCTACATAACTAAAAATACCTATGAAAAGTCAGACATGTGAACTCCATTATTCCCCGACTGCTTGGCCGCTTTAAGGCACCGAAATCCGATACACTACTAAGACGGATACTGGACAAGAGAAATCCGCCATATCATAATATCGCAAGATGTTTGACCTGTTTACCATGCAAAATGGGAAAATGAGAGCCTCGCTTCATCTAAACGACACCTTCCAGTTTGTGGAAAGCATTTGAAGCATGAGTATTCTAGACTTTCACAGGTACACTTTGGATGTTGTCGCACTGATGGTTAATGTTTTCTTGCTAGACGGTTACATTCCTGTGCAACGTGATCCACCAACGCGGGTTAAACTTTAGGAGACAAATTGGTCAACTGAAACAAATTGCTCAGATGTACTATTAACATCCAATTTTAATTCAACAGCGAGTTAAGCAGGCAACTGGATGGCACGGCGATGGGATATTCCTTAAGATTACTGTCAATTGTGCGCACATAAGAAAACTCGAAGATGGTCAAAAAATCCAATAATTTCATAGTACTAATGCCAACATTGCTAAGTAGAAGATAAGTCTGTAAAGTTGATCGAGCAACCAATATACAAATGTTCGACAATCAAGGCAAGCAAGATAATCAAAACTGAAGCACGATATTCCTGACCTGAAGCAGACTAAACATCGGGTTTTCAAATACATCATTGGAACGCGTAATATGCCACCTATCAAGGGGCGAAAACGCGGTTATTACTGCGTCCTACGGTTACTTTGTTTTACCTGTGACACTGCGATCATCTGTCAGTTCAAACGCGCACCCAGCCACCCGTATGAATACCAAAGGTCAAGGATCGGTATACGGGTATATTCAACAGAATAGGTCAGCACTATTTATGGGCGAATGAAACATTACTCTTTTGGAAGCCAAGGCCACTCAATCTTCTGCGTCTGGTTCCCAGTCAATGGAAGTTAATTCTCTCCAACATGTTTACCATATTAATAACTTGTTCACCTCATTTGAAACGAGCGTGTATTGTTTTCCAGTAAATTTGCACCTTAGTCCCATATTTGGCGGAACAGTTAAAGGTTGTTCGACGCTCGTGCTGATGACCTTCCCATGCAGCAGACAGCTCAAATTATCCGCTATATATCAACGCACAACCTCGTAGCTGGACATTGGCTCCGCGTACCTCTGCATAACCACCCTTTTGAATTGATTTCTATTACCTATTTTCCACGCTTTGGCTTGGTCTTAGTTTTTACCCTGGGATCCACTTGTAACCATCTCGGATGCCTTCCTCGACTTGGCCTTCGTGGCAGGTCGTGCGACTATTCTGCGACTGGCTTTGTTCCGCGTTGTTGGTCAGTTCCGTTTTCTATACTATGTAGTGTTGCCGGTTCTTGAGTTATTTGAGATTTTTCATGCTGCGGTCATAAATGATCGACGTGTCTTGTCTACTAACACTTTCCGACCACTATCTCATGGAAAACCTTAGCCTTGTTACCAATAACCGTCCCGCCAGATCATCTTCCCGAAGTCTGAATCTTTTGTGTATAAACCAAATTACCATCATAGTAATTTAAAGTCTTTTATATGGCAACTCTCTCGTTTAACCATTGCTCTCTCCAAGGTTTTCGCGATCAGGCTATCAAAAGTCGTGTTAATTTCTCTTTCAAATTAAATTTCAGCAAGAAACCTACCCTCCGGTATGTTTGGATTTGGCGTGTTTTAAAATTTCCTACGAAATAACTAATTATATTTTCTGACACTGGTTTCTTGCGCATGGAGAATAGCAAATGTAAAAGTAGCAAGTAAACGTTCATCCTGCCCATCTCATTGTGGATGATACGGCAGCAAATCCTTGGCTTGGATCCCGCTTCACATACAAAATTCATAAAGTAGCGTTGATGTGAACTGTGCTCCGTTGTCCGTAACCAACATCTCCGGTGTGTCAAAATATTGTAACAGTTTGTTTAGCTCATTGACTGTGTGGTTGAGTGGTGGGATTTTCATCTGCATCCCATCGAGCCACTTGTGTAATAACAACAATCAAATAAGATTACTGTTGATTGGTCCCGCATAATGCAAGTTAACTCATTGACATGGCTTTTACGTCTCTTGTCACGTTTGCCACGGAGACTATGGAGGGGCCTTTGCCGTTTACTCTCAAAATGCACCTGTTTCGCATAGCTGTTGTTTTCGTAATCCATTTGAGTTTAATACACCATACCTCGTGTCGGTGCCATTATTCTTCTCTTCCACAGATTGCCTGAATGAACCTGCCGTAGGATTCGTTTACGTAACATCCTTATTACTTAGGTTTGGAATCCAAAAGTTAGATAATTCTCGACGACCGAAATATATCCGCGTCGATTGAATACATATCATAATTCAAATGAAATCCAGACAGTTGGCTGACTTGATTGCACAAACACTATGAATTTCCTCAAAATTTCGTCTTAAGTCACATCTACACGAATTGTGTATGTTCACCGGAATCTCCCTTATACTGTCAACCTGGATTTTTTGAATACCCGATTCGAATTTTACGGTTGAGATCACGCAGTCATCGCTTTCATTTTTGTGGGTACTGATGTTGTGAGGTAGAGAGTCAGCTCGGCCAAGTTGTTGCGTAGATCGGTATTTAGTACTGAAATCGTAAGTCAGCATTTCGTTTGTCCAGCTCTTTTGCGGATTGCTGTGGAAACAGGAATACTCTTCTGTCATCCAAATATCGAGTATATATGTTTGTAGTCCGTGATCAGTTTGAAATATCTACCATCGCAGTTTGTGAAACCGTTTCACTGCGAAAACCATCGTCAGCGCTTCGTTCCGATTCTGGCTGCAATACTGGTTCGCCAATGTCAGCGACCGTCCTGCTAGTTCAATGGTCTGCTCTTCTCCTTCTGGACACACGTAGGAAATGACATCCCCTACCTCATATTTGTATGCTTCTGAAACAACATCGGTCCTCAAATTTATGTTGTAGACGTCAACATTATGTCATTAGTAATCGCCTCCTACATGTGTGAAAATTATTTGACACTCATTTTTTCATCGCCATTCTTTGCTTTTCATCAGCGACTCGTTCAGGGGACCTCTTGTCTGATGTAGACTTGGCTAGAAGGAACTATAAGTGCTAACATGGCTGATGAATGAAATTAGTACGTTAACATGTGTTAGTGGCAGCTTCTGCTTGACTGTTACTCTATTGGAGTCTAAGCCAAGACTAAGCTTCATTTTTTACAATGGCTGGGGCCTTGGTTCCGAAATACTGGAGGGCCTCTATTCCATCTCCAAATTATACGAGATGACCTCTTTGGACTTTGTCATTATCCACAGAGTAAATTTTTCATAGCTATTAGGTAATAAACCGAGAATGTATTAACATTTTTCATACGGAGGGCTTCGTAAGTCATACTTAATACCAAATTGGCATTCCTTCTTTGCTGTGACTTATTGTCTGTCTTTGAAACGTATAATTAATCTTCGTACGTTCTGCTTTCTCTAACGAATTCTGTACTTTAACCATGACTATATCTGCACAGGCAATTTTAGTAGCTAATGAAAGTTTACAGTGACAAATGCTTAGGTAGACGATTGGATAAATATTTGTAAAAGCTGTTTGCAAATATTGTAATTAGCGGATCAGATATCAGTATCGTATCTAAATGAACGTTCTTTCTAAACACTTCAAACACAAAGTGCGAATATCTGGGGAAAGCAATTTAGGTGCCTTAGTAGAACAACAAGAAAATAATCCCCCTTCATATATTTACATGGTTTCTGCTCAAACTTGGCCAGGGATGCCGAAAAGTTACTTTTTAATGAGTCAACACTTAAGATGATGGGAACGAAAGACTGGTAAGATTATCTGGACGTACCGCAGTTGTGGCAGGTTTCATTTCTAGCTTGGCATACTTAACTACTTACGCGTTTTTCTGCTTTCTCACAGTGGTAACACTTGCATCGATATGGTGACATGTTTCCGGAAGTGTGATGTGTTCAAATGCTGATTTCAGTAGACGAAACGCTGGAAAGCAAATTTCTACTTTGTTCGCTAACTTCGACCTCACTAGCCAAGTTCCATGCTAGGTCCCACGGGAGCTTGTCGACGTCTCCTATTAGCAGGAGTTCTCTGATTCTAGAATCCGACA